ATAAAATCTGAGACCAATCCACTCGTATATCAACAAGCATATTTACGACACTCACCGTTCAGTCTTTACTGATGGATCCAAGGCTGGTGGCAAAGTAGCACCTGCCACCGTCATTGGATCAAAACATTTATCCTCCAGAAGACCAGATAATAGCTCTTTATTCACTGCTGAGGCCAATGCTATCCTTACAGCCTTGGGATTCATTCAAAAACAGTCTGCATATAAACGATTTATAATCTTTTCTGATTCATTATCTTATCTTCAGGCACTAATCCAATCATTTTAAACATACCAGACTTTTAAACGTAGTATATTCGTTATTTTAATCTAAGGCTTAACTGGTACACTGTCGCCAGTGACTGATCGAAGGGATGATATAAATCCTGCCGTGGTCCATGCAGGAAGCAAAGGTACTGTAAGTCCCCATGGTCCCCATATATGGTGATCTCCCTTCAGCTGCTGACGATTTCTAGCCCATTTTTATATTGTGGTGTTCATTGATGCTTACTGCTTTTTTAATATCCTCAACTAGTTTTAAATCAAGTATGTGATATTCTAGTTATTCTACTGTCCATCGTTGACAGCTATTTATTTAGTCTAAGTATATGTATCATAAATGTATCATAACTGTATAACTTAAATATTGCCCATGTGACGTTAAATAATAACTCACTCACTCACTCACTATTCCAAAGATATGGGACTTTGACAATTTGAAGGCGTTGAAGGCCTTAACACGTTGGCTGCTACCTGAGAATATCCCCCAAGTATCCCCCGAGTATCCCCAGACATGTGATTACGTCTATGTAATGAGTGAGTTCTACATGTCAAATGGAACCCGAATATTTGGTGTCCTGAGCGAACATTTTTACTCCAACTCCACCCTCGACACCCGATAACGCATCTGAAAACACATCAACGCTATTGAGGTTTGCTGTTTGAGTCAAACAAGACGGACATGGCAACTTTACACCAGAGGGAAGATCACTACTGATGAGTTCTAGGAAAAGGTGAGATACGACTTATTTGGTAAAATGTTTCCACCTAGATTCACTGACGTGTAGCGTCCTTTATATAACATTTATCATTATCAATGCACCGCTGTTGTTTGCAATTTTGAATAAAGTCCAGATGAATTCAATATGACGTCACCTAACTGAATGAGTGAGTGAGTATGGTTTTACGCCGCTTTTAGCAATATTCCAGCAATATCACGGCAGAGACACCTGAAATGGGCTTCACACATTGTACCCATGTCGGGAATCGAACCCGGGTCTTCGGCATGACGAGCGAACGCTTTAATCACTAGGCTACCCGACCGCACCGATTTTGAATAAAGTCCAGATGAATTCAATATGACGTCAACATAAACCTTGACGTTGGTGGGCAAACCATATGAGTCGTAAGAGGAACTGGTCAGGGTCACCACGGAAGTCTCAATGTTCCTCTGGTAGCTGTCCCAACGTTCCAACCATATACACATTTCATGATATATATTTGTAACCGTGAATGAGCATCAACATACCACCGGAAATATTAGATATTAAACTTCAGTGAAATATATGATAACTCAAAGAGAAGAGACGATCGTTAATTTAGTTTTTTTATTTTCTTTTGCAATATTCCAGCCATATTACGGCGGTCTGTAAATAATCGAGTCTGGACCAGACAATCCAGTTTGACATCATAAGCATCGATCTGCGCAATTGGGATCAATGACATGCTTCAACCAAGTCAACGAGCCTGACCACCCGACCCCGTTAATTGCCTCTCACAACAAGCATAGGCGCCTTTTACGGTAAGTATGGGTTGCTGAAGCTCTATTCTACCCCGGATCATCACGGGTCTCGTTAATTAAGTCACACACCATACTCTGAATATTATAGTTGACAGTTCACATGACCCTCATATAACGTGAGTTCAATAACAGTAATAATATAATATATATTCACATTAGACACTATTATAACGTTTTGTCAATACAATTCTATTTTTTTGTTCGAATCCATCCTTCGAAAGGGTGGTCATTTAGCAAAAGCACAGATGTCCTTCCACATAAATGATAATGATGAGAGGGATACTTCAATCGAGTGGTTATTTGACAACATCATAGTGAGTGAGTTGGGTTTAACGCCACTTTTAACAGTATTCCAGTTTAATCACGGCGTGTCAGCTTAATGTGGGAGGAAAGCCCGAAGTGATGCAGGTCTCAGACGTTTACCACTTCGGTGAAACCCACGAGCGCGGGTATGGTGCTGACAAACCTAGAAACATAATCGGGGTGAACCGGGTTTCGAACCCACAATCATAGGTTTCTGTCGTGTCCAGGAGACGCAACTCTGCACAGCGAATCGCGGCGCCTTAGACGACTGGGCCACCCGTGCCCCCGACAAAATCATAGACGTCCTTCCACATAAATGATGAAGATGAGAGGGATACTTCAATCGAGTGGTCATTTGACAACAGCCTAGACGTCCTTCCACATAAATGATAATGATGAGAGGGATGCTTCAGTCGAGTGGTCATTAAGCAACAGCATAGTGAGTGAGTGAGTGAGTGAGTGAGTGAGTGAGTGATAATATTTAACGTCACATCGGCAGTATTTCAGCCATGTCGTGACGAGAAGTACATTTATAATACTTATATTTAGACTTAATAAAAACCTGTCAACAATGGACAGTAAAATAACTAGATTTATCACAGATTTTATTTTAAACTAGTAGATCGCATTAAAAATATAACATCATACTAAACAATACAAGATAATAATGAGCTATTGATCGCCAGCCACTGAAGAGAGATCACCATGCTAGGGTCCATGGGGACTAATTCACTAACAACCATTTGTGCGACCAGCACAGCTTCCTGGGGATCTGTTCTAAGGAGGACTGAATGGAGATTTTATAGAAACTTCCAATCCTCGTTTAACTACTGTTTACAGTTCTATCATGTGCTTGCTCCCAGCCGTATGACGGAGGTGTGTAAGTTATCGAGTCTGGACCAGAAGGTCCAGTGTTTGATATTGTATGCATCGATCCCGGCACCTATACTACACGAAGACATGGATCCACCAAGTCTGCAAGCCTGACCACCCGATTCCGTTAGTCACCTCTCACTTCAGGTATAGTCTACCTTAACGACAAACCACACACCATAGACAACTCCCACTCGTTTCTTTGTACTGATGCAGATGTATGGGATATTGTTCTTTTTGTGTGGATATTGACAGATACCACAACAAGGCTACTGCCTTAAGCTATACACAGAACTTTGGTTTGTTGCAATCATGATAGTTGCATTTTGTTTCATTCGTTTGCTGTAGCAAGAACACGGGAGGCATCAACGGTGACTGATCAAATTGTTCCATACTTGGCAATAGCAATCAGTTGTTCGAAAGCTACGCTTATGGTTATTATTCAACTCACGGGCAAAATAAAGTATACACGTTTAAACTGATTTTTTTCCCAAAACTATCAAAAGTGAGCAAAATGGTATCGGGCTTACAATAGTTGCCCAAGACGTGCAAAATCAATATCCAAAACGCGTCGCGTTGGCCGTAAAGATGCACGTGCAGTGGCCCAAAGTCACCCAACTACTTTTCCAGGTATTCGTAAAATTGCACGTGCTGAGAGAGAGAGAGAGAGAGGGAGAGAGAGAGAGAGAGAGGGAGAGAGAGAGAGGGAGAGAGAGAGAGAGAAAGAGAGAGAGAGAGAAAGAGAGAGAAAGAGAGAGAGAGGGAGAGAGAGAGAGAGAGAGATATGACCATGGAGCAGAAGCAGAAGGCCAGCTTTCTCCCCTGACTTGAACCCAACTGAACACTTGTGTTGAGTTTCGCACTGTAATTGTGCATGTGACCCTATTAGCGAATACACCATCATTGAATAACATTATCATGTTTGTTTTCACTTTATTGACCATAAAATATGGGTGTATACCCAGCTAACACACGACGTTGTCACAACGTTGTGCAAAGGTTGTGGATTGGTAACATCGTGATATAACGTTCTCACAACGTTATTATAACGTCAACGTGCAACGTTATTTCACAACGTTATAACAACGTTGCACATTCACGTTGTTAAATCGTTGTGCATTGGACAACGTTTTGTAACTACGTTTCTGAAACGTCGTGAAACGTCATAGAGTTTGCTTGTCGATAGTCATAAAGGTATAGAACTGCTTTATCAAAATCAATATGAATTTGTCAAAATACCAAGGTAGTAATGCATTACCTTTCTATATAGTATAGTATATTTAGTAAAAGCTGCAACTAAAATAACTAGATATTGAAATGTATTATCGTTGGATAAAATATCAATTTCAGATACAATTCATTCGATCATTGCATAAAATGTCTCTAAAGTTATATTATCGGGTATGTTTGGACCGACTCGCCGGAAGATTTATTAGAAAATGTGCTTATAGCTAATTGCTTTTTCCGGCTTAGTTTACTGAAAATTACATTCGTTAATCTTTATTTATGAATATAACACAATGCCTGATATAACTGAAAACACAACTGAGATGGTACAGTATCATGTCTCATGATACTGTATCTCACAGTTCAAGTATTTTTTTACATAGTTTGTTATTATCTGAAGTTAACCTGAGTGAGTGAGTGAGTGAGTTGGGTTAACGCCGCTTTTAACATTATTCCAGTCATATCACGGCATGTCAGCTTAATGTGGGAGGAAAGCCCGAAGTGATGCAGGTCTCAGACGTTTTCCACTTTGGTGAAACCCACGAGCACGGATATATATGGTGCTGACAAACCTGAAAACATAATCGGGGCGAACCGGGATTCAAACCCACAATCATAGGTTTCTGGCGTGCCCAAGGGACGCAACTCTGCACAACGAATCGCGACGCCTATGACGACTGGGCCTACCGTGCCCCCTCTGTTAACCTGAAGTCTCTGGAAGGATACTATGAAACCCTTCACTGCGCCTTGTTTGCATGTATTAACAACAAAACACATTTCAATTGGGCTTCAGCTCTTTATTGTATATCCTTTGTTACTATAATACTACCTCTCATTCTTCGATCCTCCGATAGGTGTCGCTCTGCGCAGGGCAGCACGATATATAGATCGAACACAAGTAAAAATATATAGTCCATAATAAGCAAATGTTGAACCCGCGAAGGAAAAGCTAATCCGTATTTCAATACTTTCAAAGTGTTGTAAAGGGGTAAGCAGATCCTGGAGCACATCAAGGGCAATCATTCCTATGCCTGCAGAACAAACAATGTAACATTACGTAATTTAGAGTTACGCATACATCCATATAAACAGACATCAAGACACAACAGACATCAAGATACAACAGACATCAAGATACAACGGAAATCAAGATACAACAAACTTCAAGACACAACAGACATCGAGACACAACAGACAGAAAGATACAACATACATCAAAATACAACAGGCATCAAAATACAACAGGCATAAAGATACAACGGACATCAAGATTCAACAGACATCAAGATACAACAGACATCAAGACACAACAGACATCAAGATACAATGGACATCAAGATACAGCAGGCATCAAGATACAACAGAGATCGAGATACAACAGACATCAAGATTCAACAGACATCAAGATACAACGGAAATCAAGATACAACAAACATTAAGACACAACAGACAGAAAGATACAACAGACATCAAGATACCGCAGACATCGAGATACAGCAGACATCAAGGTACACCAGACAACCAGATACAACAGGTATCAGAATACAACAGGCATCAAGATACAACAAACAACAAGATACAACGAACATCAAGATACAACAGACATCAAGATACACTGGACATCAAGATACAGCAGGCATCAAGATACAACAGAGATCGTGATACAACATATATCAAGACACAACAGACATCACGATTCAACGGACATCAAGATTCAACAGACGTCAAGATACAACGGAAATCAAGATACAACAAACATTAAGACACAACAGACAGAAAGATACAACAGACATCAAGATACCGCAGACATCGAGATACAGCAGACATCAAGGTACACCAGACAACCAGATACAACAGGTATCAGAATACAACAGGCATCAAGATACAACAGACATCAAGATACACTGGACATCAAGATACAGCAGGCATCAAGATACAACAGAGATCGTGATACAACATATATCAAGACACAACAGACATCACGATTCAACGGACATCAAGATTCAACAGACATGAAGATACAACGGACATCAAGATGCAATGGACATCAGGATACAGCAGGCATCAAGATACAACAGGGATCGAGATATAACATATATCAAGACACAACATACATCAGGATTCAACAGACATCAAGATTCAACAGACATCAAGATACAGCAGGCATCAAGATACACCAGAGATCGAGATACAACAGACATCAAGATACAACGGAAATCAAGATACAACAAACATCAGGACACAACAGACATCAAGACACAACAGACAGAAAGATACAACATACATCAGGATTCAACATATATCAAGATACCGCAGACATCGAGATACAGCAGACAACACATGTGTGTCTATGTTGGGATTTGAAGCCCTTGTTGTACCACTGCTGAGTGCTGCGTTAAACAACATGCAAACAATCAAACATGTAGACGTACGCAGGCGATAACTGTGCACATCTCATTGTGCTGATCCCACGTGACGCCGCAGCAGTTGCCCCTGTCCACTAGAGTCCAAGCATTATCGCACACAAAGTAGCGGCCGCACCCAGCAGGGTCAGGGTTGCTAAAAAGAGTATCATTGTTGGGGTCAGTGGCCCCAGAGCATTCCGCGTCACCCATCGAATCTGAAACACACGTCAAGTTAGAGAGATGGGGGAATCATATATATTACTGATACACACGTCAAGTTAGAGAGATGGGGGAGTCATATATATTACTGATACACACGTCAAGTTAGAGAGATGGGGGAATCATATATATTACTGATACACACGTCAAGTTAGAGATATGAGGGGAGTCATATATATTACTGATACACACGTCAAGTTAGAGAGATGGGGGAATCATATATATTACTGATACACACGTCAAGTTAGAGAGATGGGGGAATCATATATATTACTGATACACACGTCAAGTTAGAGATATGAGGGGAGTCATATATATTACTGATACACACGTCAAGTTAAAGAGATGGCGGAATCAGATATATTACTGATACACACGTCAAGTTAGAGAGAAAAGGGGAATCATATATATTACTGGTACACACGTCAAGTTAGAGAGATAAGGGGAGTCATATGTATTACTGATACACACGTCAAGTTAAAGATATGAGGGGAGTCATATATATTACTGATACACATGTAAAGTTAGAGTAAAAAGGGGAGTTATATACACTAATACACACGTCAAGTTAGAGAGATGAGGGGAGTCATATATATTACTGATACACACGTCAAGTTAAAGATATGAGGGGAGTCATATATATTACTGATACACACGTCACGTAAGAGAGAAGAGGTTGTCATATATATCACTGATACAAACGTAAAGTTAGTGGGATGAGGGGAGTCATACATATCGCTGTTCACATGTCAAGTTAGAGATATGAGGGGAGTCATATATATTACTGATACACACGTCAAGTTAAAGAGATGGCGGAATCAGATATATTACTGATACACACGTCAAGTTAGAGAGAAAAGGGGAATCATATATATTACTGATACACACGTCAAGTTAGAGATATGAGGGGAGTCATATATATTACTGATACACACGTCAAGTTAGAGAGATGGGGGAATCATATATATTACTGATACACACGTCAAGTTAGAGAGATGGGGGAATCATATATATTACTGATACACACGTCAAGTTAGAGATATGAGGGGAGTCATATATATTACTGATACACACGTCAAGTTAAAGAGATGGCGGAATCAGATATATTACTGATACACACGTCAAGTTAGAGAGAAAAGGGGAATCATATATATTACTGGTACACACGTCAAGTTAGAGAGATAAGGGGAGTCATATGTATTACTGATACACACGTCAAGTTAAAGATATGAGGGGAGTCATATATATTACTGATACACATGTAAAGTTAGAGTAAAAAGGGGAGTTATATACACTTATACACACGTCAAGTTAGAGAGATGAGGGGAGTCATATATATTACTGATACACACGTCAAGTTAAAGATATGAGGGGAGTCATATATATTACTGATACACACGTCACGTAAGAGAGAAGAGGTTGTCATATATATCACTGATACAAACGTAAAGTTAGTGGGATGAGGGGAGTCATACATATCGCTGTTCACATGTCAAGTTAGAGAGATGAGGGGAGTCATATGTATCACTGATACATACGTCAAGTTAGAGAGATGAGGGGAGTCATGAATATTACTGATACACACGTCAAGTTAGATATATGAGAGGAGTCATACATATTACTGAAACACGTCAAGTTAGAAAGATAAGGGGAAACCATATATATCACTGATACAAACGTCAAGTAAGAGAGAAGAGGTTGTCGTATATATCACTGATACACACGTCAAGTTAGAGAGATTAGGGGTGGCGTATATATCACTGATACACACGTCAAGTTAGAGAGAAGAGGTTGTCGTATATATCACTGATACACACGTCAAGTTAGAGAGACGAGGGTTGTCATATATATCACTGATACACACGTCAAGTAAGAGAGAAGAGGTTGTCGTATATATTACTGATACACACGTCAAGTAAGAGAGATGAGGGTTGTCATATATATCATTGATATACACGTCAAGTTAGAGACGAGGGTTGTCATATATATCACTGATACACATGACAAGTAAGAGAGATGAGGGTTGTCATATATATTACTAATACACACTTCAAGTTAGAGAGATGAGGGTTGTCATATATATTACTGATACACACGTCAAGTTAGAGAGAAGAGGTTGTCATATATATGACTGATACACGCGTCAAGTTAGACAGATGAGTGTTGTCAAATATATCACAGATACAAACGTAAAGTTAGAGAGACGAGGGGAGTCATATGTATCACTGATACACACGTCAAGTTAGATATATGAGGGGAGTCATATATATCACTTAAACACACGTCAAGTAAGAGAGATGAGGGGAGTCATATATATCACTGATATACACTTCAAGTTAGAGGGATGAGGGGAATCATATGTATCGCTGATACACACGTCAAGTTAGGGAGATGAGGGGAGTCATGTATATTACTGATACACATGTCAAGTTAGAGAGAAGAGGTTGTCGTATATATCACTGATACACACGTCAAGTTAGAGAGATGAGGGTTGTCATATAAATCGATGATACACACGTCAAGTAAGAGAGAAGAGGTTGTCGTATATATTTCTGATACACACGTCAAGTAAGAGAGATGAGGGTTGTCATATATATCACTGATATACACGTCAAGTTAGAGACGAGGGTTGTCATATATATCACTGATACACATGACAAGTAAGAGAGAAGAGGTTGTCATATATATCACTGATACACACGTCAAGTTAGGGAGTTTAGAGGAGTCATGTATATCACTGATACACACGTCAAGTAAGAGATATGAGGTTTGTCATATATATTACTGATACACGCGTCAAGTAATAGAGATGAGGGTTGTCATATATATTATTGATACACACGTCAAGTTAGAGAGATGAGGGTTGTCATATATATCACTGATACACACGTCAAGTTAGAGAGAAGAGGTTGTCAGATATGTCACTGATACACATGTCAAGTAAGAGTGAAGAAGTTGTCATATATATCACTGATACACACGTCAAGTAAGAGAGATGAGGGCTGTCATTTATATCACTGATACACACGTCAAGTTAGAGAGAAGAGGTTGTCATATGTATGACTGATACAGGCGTCAAGTTAGAGAGATGAGTGTTGTCAAATATATCACTGATACAAACGTAAAGTTAGAGAGATGAGGGGAGTCATATGTATCACTGATACACACGTCAAGTTAGATATATGAGGGGAGTCATATATATCACTAATACCCACGTCAAGTTAGAGAGATGAGGGGAGTCATATATATCACTGTTCACATGTCAAGTTAGAGATATGATGGGAATCATATATATTACTGATACACACGTCCAGTTTAGAGAGATTAGGGGAGTCATATAAATCACTGATACATATGTCAAATTAGAGAGAAGAGGTTGTCATATATATCACTGATATACATGTCAAGTTAGAGAGATCAGGGGAGTCATATAAATCACTTATACAAACGTCAAGTTAGAGAGATGAGGGGAGTCATGTATATGACTGATACACACGTCAAGTTAGAGAGAAGAGGTTGTCATATATATCACTGATACACACGTCAAGTTAGAGAGATGAGCGTTGTCATATATATCACTGATACAAACGTTAAGTTAGTGGGATGAGGGGAGTCATATATATCACTGTTCACATGTCAAGTTAGGAATATGAGGGGAGTCCTATATATTACTGATACACACGTCAAGTTAGAGAGATGAGGGGAGTCATATATATCACTGATACACACGTCAAGTTATAGAGAAGAGGTTGTCATATATATCACTGATACACACGTCAAGTTAAAGAGAAGAGGTTGTCATGTATATCGATGATACACACGTCAAGTTAGAGAGATAATGGGAAATCATATATATCACTGATACACACGTCAAGTTAGAGAGATGAGGGGAGTCATCTATATCACTGATACAAACGTTAAATTAATTGGATGAGGGGAGTCATATATATCACTGATACACACATCAAGTTAGAGAAATAAGGGGATTCAAGTTAGAGAAATAAGGGGATTCATATATGTGACTGATACAAACGTCAAGTTAGAGAAATAAGGGGAGTCATATATATCACTGATACACACGTCAAGTTAGAGAAATAAGGGGAGTCATATATATCACTGGTACACACGTCAAGTTAGAGAAATAAGGGGAGTCATATATATCACTGATACACACGTCACGTTAGAGAAAAGAGGTTGTCATGTATATCACTGATACACACGTCAAGGTAGCGAGAAGAGGTTCTCATATATATCACTGATACAAACGAAAAGTTAGTGGGATGAGGGGAAGCATATATATTACTGATACACACGTCAAGTGAAATATATGAGGGGAGTCATATATATTACTGATACACAGGTCAAGTAAGAGAGAAGAGGTTGTCATATATATCACTGATACAAACGTTAAGTTAGTGGGATGAGGGGAGTCATACATATCACTGTTCACATGTAAAGTTAGAGAGATGAGGGGAGTCATACATATCACTGATACACACGTCATGTTAGAGAGATAAGGGGAAATCAGATATATCACTGATACAAACGTCAAGTAAGAGAGAAGAGGTTGTCGTATATATCACTGATACACACGTCAAGTTAGAGAGAAGAGGTTGTCGTATATATCACTGATACACACGTCAAGTTAGAGAGATAAGGGGAGTCATATGTATTACCTATACACACGTCAAGTTAAAGAGATGGCGGAATCATATATATTACTGATACACACGTCAAGTTAGAGGTATGAGGGGAGTCATATACATTACTGATACACACGTCAAGTTAGAGAGATAAGGGGAGTCATATGTATTACCTATACACACGTCAAGTTAAAGAGATGGCGGAATCATATATATTACTGATACACATGTCAAGTTAGAGAGAAAAGGGGAATCATATATATTACTGATACACACGTCAAGTTAGAGAGATAAGGGGAGTCATATGTATTCCTGATACACACGTCAAGTAAGAGAGAAGAGGTTGTCATATA